GAGAGAGTACTGGGGCTTAAACTTGGGGTCCCTTTACTCTTGCTTGGCTTTTCTGGTCAAGGCTGGTAAACCACCACTTGAGCCACAGCTCCACTTCTGCCTTTTTGCTTGTTAATTGGAGATCAGAGTCTCACAGACTTTCCTGCTCAGGCTGGCTTCAAGCCTTAATTCTCAGATCTCAGCCTCCTGAGTTATTAGGACTACAGGTGTAAGCCACCAGCACCCAAGCAGCCCCTAGCTTTTTGAGACAATGGGGACGAACAGGAGCCCATTATGCCCTTCTCTCCACAGCAAGGCAGTGGCACTGGCACTGCCATTTGGTTTGTTGCTCAAATTTGAGCAATAAAACCCTCAGCACCTGGAGCTCCTTCCAATTGACTATGGGGTCCTTCCATTGTGTGCACCACCCTTTTAAAATGATTTTATTTATTTATTTTCAGTGCCAGTCCTGGGGCTTGACCTTGGGGCCTGTGTACTGTCCTTGAGCTTCTTTTTGCTAAAGGCTAGTGCTCTACCACTTGAGTAACAGCTCCACCTCTAGCTTTTTTTTGATGATTCATTGTATGAGAGTCTCATGAACATTCCTGTATAGGCTGGCTTCAAACCATGATCTTCAAATCTCAGTCTTCTGAGTAAGTAGGATTATAGGTGTGAGCAACTGGCACCTGGCTATGATTTTATTATTAAAGAAAATCTAAGCACATCTTTGCTTTCTGGCACCACAAGACACTTCAGACTCATCTTGTTCTTTTACTGCCCTCAGCCCTGGAGTCAACCAGTTTTTCTAGGAGCCCTGCTTCCTTCTGTTGGAGGGTGGTTTTCTGAAACCAAATCTGACCAGGTACTGTTTGCTCTCGCCTATAATCTTAGCAACTCAAGCGGCTGATCTGAGGATTATGGTTCAAAGCCAACTGGGAAAGGAAAGTCCTTAAGACTCTTACCTCCAATTAACCAGCAAAAAGCCAGAAGTGGAGCTGTGGCTCAAATGGTAGAGCCCCAACCTTGAGTAAGAGAAGATAAAAGACAATGTCCAGACCCTGAGTTCAAGTCCCAGTACTGGCAGAAAAAAGAAAAGAAAAAAAAAGACATTGTTCACGATGATCATTGCACTGATCTCTCTTGGTGGATGTAACTATTGTATTTCTACAAGTTTGCGTTCATATATAAGTTTAAAATGGCCAGACCTGTGAGAATACATTTCTGTTGTTTATAAGTCAGAAAAATAAAACATGCCTCACATAGGGTGTGTGTGTGTGTATGTGTGTGTGTGTGTGTGTGTGTGTGTGTGTGTGTGTGTGTGTAAACAAATGTATCAAGTAGAGGATTTGGGGCTTACATGATGTTGGGCTAAGTTTTGAAGAAAGAGGTATGATTTGACAAGTGAGTGTCAGGGTCCGGGAGGCGAGAGGCCGAGCATTGTGTGTGGCCACAGTGTGGGGCAGGTCTGAGTGCACACAGTGGGAAGACAGTGGCCACCAGCCTGGCTGAAGCAGGTGAAGTGGGTCAGTGAACAAAGGACTCTGAATACCAGGCTGAGAGGACTCGATTTGACCTTACCAGAGAACGGGGGGGGGGGGGTCCTCCAGGAAGACCCTGAGCCTGGCATCAAAACCCCAAACTCAAAACTCCAGGAATGGCCTACAAGAGAGAAGGGACAGGGCAGAGGGACAAATGAACAGGTCAGCATGTGTTATCATCATTCATGCCAGGAGCTTCCTCTCCAGATTCAGGAAAGTGAGCAGGAACTCCCCAGGTGTACCTGGTGCTGCAGGTGACTTGAGTGTCCCTCACTTCCTCCTCTTTGTGCCCAGAGACAGAGCTCCAGGCATCTCACAAACCTATGATAGACAGACAGACAGACAGACAGACACCCAGTGCAGCTGTAGAAGACCTTCACGATGCTATCAACCAAGTAGCCTAACCAATAATTACAAAATGTATAGGCTACCCCCCCCTTCCACCCCAACAACTGCAGCAGAGCAAACATTTGCTCCAGAAGCACACAGAACATTCACCAAGGCGGACCATATGCCGAGCCATAAAACCTGCCTTGGGAAATAGCAACGGGTGAAATCCCGCAGCCATTGTTCCCTGACAACGGGGCAATGAGGGGGCTGGTGGAGGACAGAAAGATATCTGGAAACTTCCAAGCACTTAAGAGTCTATCAAGACGCTTGGTGGAGACTGAACGAGAAAGCACACTGCACGTGGAGCAGCCTGTGGCTGTGCTGAGAAAGTGTGTGGAAGTGGTGCAGGGGACTTCAGGGGGACAAATTGTGGGGCCCCCAGGGACCGGTGAAAGAGTGCCCCAGCATGCTGGAAGGGTGATCAAGGCGTCTTGACATCAGGGAGAGGATGCAGAGGAGGAGAGAATGGACAGATCCTGGAGTTTGAAAGTGGGACCTCTGGGACTACTGGGGCTAGTCGTGGGAAAGATGGGCAGACCAAGGATGACCTCCATTCGTCATTGCTGTCAGGATCCTGTTCAAGTTGACTGAAAGCAGTCCTGATCACCCCTGCCCAACTTTATAGCCAAACGCTCCACAATCCAGCTGTAAACTTCTGTTCCTCCAGCAGCTAGCAGGTACCCCTATGCCATGTTTGCTCCGGATTGCAGCTGGGCCTTTGCACATGCTGCTTCATCTGCTCTGCTTATCACTATCTCTCAGCCTAACTGCCACCTCTAACGGGAAGTCTCCCTGGATTTCACTCCTGCCTGGTTTACAGACCCTGCTGCATGCTTCTGTGCTAGCTGTGGTTATCTGTACCCCAATATCCTCTTCTCTGTCTCCTCAACTCATGCTTCTGAGGACAGAGAGCAGGCTTCATTCAGCAGTACTAACATTAGAGCCAGTTCCTGATTAGCCAGACTCTGGATCCTCCTGGAAGTGGAGGGACAATACTGTCACATTGCCATTGGGCCCTAGTGGTTCACAACTGTAATCCTCGCTACTCAGGAGGTTGAGACCTGAGGATGGAGGTTCAAAGATGGCCTAACCAGCAAAATGCTGGAAGTAGAGGTGTGGCTCCAGCGGTAGAGCAAAAAGACCAAGTGGGTGTGCAAGTCTCTGAGTTCAAGCCTCAGTACATTCTGTCTGTCTCTCTCTCTCTCTCTCTCTCTCTCTCTCTCTCTCTCTCACACACACACACACACACACACACAGATCCCACATTGAACTTATAGAGGCCTTGCTGCATGTGTGCATGTGTGTGCATGTGTGTGTGTATACACACTTCTTGGTCTTGATCTCTCTTGACTGTCCCGGCAGCTCTGTGGAATGGGTGAGCAATGTGGCTGACATGGCGAGGAAGTTTAGGTTTTCTTCAGTAGCACTCAGGTCACATAGGCAGTGGTACAAATGGAACTTGAACACAGGTCGTCAGTTTATAAACCCACAACTTTGGGGAGGCAGATGGTTCTGGGGTTTGAATTGAAGGCCTCACACTTGCTGGGCAGGCACTCTAACCACTTGAGCCATTCCTCCAATCCTTTTTCTTTTATAGCTGGGATTCCAGATGCACAACACTGTGTCCGGCTTATTGATTGAGATGGCATCTCACTGACTTTTCCCTGGTCTGACCTCCTCAATCTCTACTTCCATAGGATTTGTGACTATAAGTAAAACCTCCCACTTTGACCACCAAATTGCACTGTGCACGTCAGGCCAGGATTGGGGCTGGAGAATCCCTGGCAATCCTGCAGCCTGTGTGCAGGAGGCTATGGTCCACATGTAGCACAGGTTGCTGGGCAGGGTCATTGAAGGTGGATAGGAGCAGTGGGTGGAATGGGCCAGGAGCCAATATAGTCAGCAGTGATTGGTACAGTCAGCCCCTGGGTGCCGCCTCCCTCGGCTCCCTCTGGAAAAGAAAGGCTTGATTCTGGAATTGGGTTTTCTCCACAAGGCATTAAAAAGGCTACTTGTCTGTCCTCTTGATAACTACTCCTCTTCCTATTATAATGTAGCCAACAAGGGGGAATCTTCAAATTTGTACCAGCAATCATTGCTACAGAGAGGCAATGGAGAAAGAATGGTTTTTTGTTTTTCTTTTGTGTTTTCAGATAAAGAGTAAAAAGGCCTCTGTACTTGTGTCTGATCCTGGTTATAAGTAGATTATGATATTATAGGGGGAGGAGGAGGGGAAAGCTACATTTCTCCTCAGCTTAACTCTGACCACAAACCAGGCCTTCTTGGTTAGCACCTGTTCCAAAGGGCTGGGGGTGTTGATAAGAGTAGGAACTAATTATGTGTGTGCTCGCACACAGGAATATTTGTGCTAGTACAGGGGCTTGAATTCAGGGCTTCTCGCTCCTGCTTGGCTTTTTTTTCACTCAAGGTTGGTGCTCTACCACTTGAGCCACAGCTCCACTGCTGGCTTTTTGGTAGTTGATTGGATATAAGAATCTCACAGACCTTCCTGCCCAGGCTGAACCACAATTCTCCAATGTCAATTTCCTGAGTAGCAAGGATTACAGTTGTGAGCCGCTGATGCCTGGTTTTTTTTTTAAAAAAGATTGTTTTAGAAAGGTGCAGAGCCACATCCATCAATGCTAGAAGTGGATGCAGACAGAATACCTTCCCCCAGTGCTTCGCAGAAACTAGTTTAGAGATTGTCCACATCAATGCCTGCCTGCTTGGAAAAAAGAACTGAGAGAGAAAAGCAGGTGACCTTGCTGGAGGATGGAAGGACAAAACCAAGCCACAATAACTGGCTGATGTTTTTGTCCTTTGGAAAAAATGGAACTACATCAAATATAGCCCGAGATCCTGGAGTTGAACAATTGACATTGAGATGTACCTTCTTTTATATCATCGTTGATTATCCCTCAGGTCAAAGGAGAAGGGAGAAATGGAGCCCAGAGTGGTACAATTCAACAATTCTACAATTCATCACTAACGATTGCTTCTAGCAACATCATTCTTCTATCTACTTCCCTTCTTCCTGACTTGCTTTTTTGTTTTGTGTCCCCCCCCCCCCACCCCAACTCTTCACACGCAAAGGTGATTTTAAAGGATGTCGACTCGCTTCTGTATGTGGACACAGATGTTCTCTTTCTGAGACCTGTCGATGACATCTGGAAGCTTCTGAAGCAGTTTAACTCCACCCAGCTTGCAGCTATGGCCCCAGAGCACGAAGTCCCAAAGACAGGCTGGTACAGCCGCTTTGCTAGGCACCCTTTCTACGGCTCTGCGGGAGTCAACTCAGGGGTCATGCTGATGAACTTAACACGCATAAGAAGTACCCAGTTCAAGGTAAGGAAATGCTTTGAAGTCCTTCGCTAAAGATTAACAGTCTTTTCATCCTGGGCTTGCCAAGGTTGAGCATGTGCTGATTTGGGGTCTGTAGTAGGTGGCCTAGAGGTAGGGATAGAAGAACCTAGAGTTTGGGATGTTTGTTTGTTTAGGAAAAGACCAGATGGCTATGGAATATGAAGCTGTTACAGAGGTACTATGCAGGTCTATCGGGCAGTATTTCAGAATTCCATAGCACATATGCTGCAACATTTTTTGGAATCATTCTAGAGGTAGTTATATAAGAATATGGAGTTTGTGCAAGGATATGCATGGTCTCCTAGCAAAGAACTGGAAGGAACTTAAAACAAAAGTTGCTTCTTCAAAAAAAGTTTTATCCCTGCATTAAAAAGCATAGGTTAATTATGGCTGGAGTGTAGCTCAGGAATACAGTACTTATCTAGCATGTGCAAGTGTTGTATGACCTTAGTTGTAAAAAACAGAGACGCCATATATACATTTTTTTAACATTTTTAAACATTTTATTTTAGCCAGTCCTGGAGCTTGAACTCAGTGCCTGGGCACTGTCCCTGAACTGCTTTTGCTCAAGGCTAGTATTCTATCATTTGAGCCACAGTGCCGGTTCTGGGTTTTTCTGTTTATGTGGTACTGAGGGATTGAACCTGGGCTTCATGCATGCAAGGCAAGCGCTCGTACCACTAAGCCACATTCTCAGTAGAAGAGCCATATTTTCAGAGGTCAAATTGGGAGTCTATTGGAGAGCCAGCAGCTGCGGGTGGACTCTTGTCACAAAGACCTGCAGCCCCTGGAATACACTTCATGTTGTTTGAAAACTGGGCCATGACAGTAATAAAGCAAAAAAGCCAGACTAGAAGTATGGCTCAAGTGGTAAAATATGCCAGCCTTGAGCAAGAAAGCCTAGAGAAAGTGTGAGGCCTTGAGTTCAAGTTTTGGTACCAACATAAAAGGTAAGATAAAGGGGAAAAGGAAAGGGAGGGGAAAGGAGAGGTCAGGAGAGGAGTGAAAGGAGGGAAGGGGAAGGAAGAAGGGGAAAGGAAGAAAGGAAAGGAAAAGAAAGGAAAGGAAAAATAGGTGTATCTATAAGTAATGATATAATCTCTCCAATATATTGAGAAAAAGTTACTTGCAGTAACATGTCATTATAGTGTAGTGTGCTGCTGACTTTTTTTTTTTTTTTTTTTTTTTGGGTCCGGTCATGGGGCCTGAACTCTGGGCCTGGGCGCTGTCCCTCAGCTCTTCAGCTCAAGGCTAGCGCTCTACCACTTGAGCCACAGCGCCACTTCCGGCTTTTTTCTTTTTGCTTATGTGGTGCTGAGGAATCAAACCCAGGGCCTCGAGCATGCAAGGCAAGTGCTCTACCACCGAACCACCTTCCCAGCCCTAGTGTGTTGACTTTTATGCCTTGGAAATTTCCAGAATACCTAAGAGGTTATACATTATTCATTGTGGATGCTTCTAGGAAAACTGGGAAGAGATTAGGGGAGAGTGGAGGAAGACATGTTTTTACTTTTTAATTTTGTTAATGTACTGATTGAATATGGTCTGTGAACGTGTTTTACTTTGAAGGTAAATAATTTGTTGGGTTCGTTTATTTGCTTGCAATAGGAACTCACTATGTAGCCCAAGCTGGCCTTTATCTTGCGATCCTCCTGCCTCTACCTCTCTACCCCCCACTGCTATTCACTCCCATGCAGAGTGTGGAATTAGAGGCATAAGCTACCATGCCCGGCTTTTTTTCCTTACTTATTTTAAGTGAATTATTTGCAGACAAATACACATTTATAATCTTCCAACTGTAGAGGTAGAGGAAGAAAGATGGCAAAATCTTTTCTAAATAGGCAGACAGATGAGTGGATAGATGGATGGACAGATGGACAGACGGACAGATGGATGGATAGATGCAAGATAATTAAGATACCTTAATTCTGTGCTCTGCATTTTGTTTCTTCATAGATAAGAAAGAAACCTAAGAAGGGTTTGATTTCAGGCATGGTCTTTCTGAACTATTCCTCGGTCCATCCAGCACCCATGCAGAAAAACTGTATGACTTCAGCCCGCATTTTGCTTTGTTCTGAGCCCTATGGCTAGCAGGATCTCTCCTCCAGCTGGAAGAAAAGGGAACCTACGACTGCGTACTTTCTCCATGGGCAAGGGGTATTTTCCTTGCTTCAGTTGCTCTCATGGTTTCTCTCTTCCAGAACAGCCTGAGTCCTACAGGCCTCGCTTGGGAAGACATGCTGTTACCTCTGTACCAGAAGTACAAGAATGCCATCACATGGGGGGACCAGGATTTGCTTAACATCATCTTCTATTTCAACCCAGGTAGGTTCTCTTTGAAGGATGGTGTGTGTGCCTGTCAGTGTGTGTCTGTGTGTGTCTGTGTGTGTGTGCACATGCGTGCATCAGTGTATGTATGTGTATGTGTGTGTCCCACCACACACATTAAAGGCCTAGGCTTCAGTGACCAGAGCCTGAGTGGTGCACATAACCGCCTGTGTTCCCCTGCGCCTGCCCTTTCATCTGCTCTCCCTCCCTCTCTGACAGAGGTGAGCTCCTGGCCACAAAAGGCCACACCTCCCACACTGCTTTCCATCTTGGCCAAGTTGCCTCTGCATGTTTTCAAGAACTGCAGTCAAAGTAGACATGATGCCCACAATGAAATGCAAACAGTCTAATCTAGGTGAGTCCCTCCGCCTGTCTGAGCTACACTGAGCCTGGTTCTCAGGGACTTCACGTTAAGTCACTTGTTCGTGGTTAAGAGAGGCTAGAATAAAAGACTATATATCTATACCTATATTTAGATATCTCTATATATATAGATCTATATCACATGTATGAGTTTCCTTTGCAAATGGAGCTGTGGAGAGGCTATAATGAAGGACTGTTTCCCACAGCCCCGTTTGCAAAGGATACTCTTATATATTGTAAATCAGTGACTTGCTGGTTGCGGGGGGAAGAGAGAGGAACATTTCTAATCTGTTTTCATGTTACTACCTAAAGCTAATAAAATATCCCTTTCCCCCCCTTTACTAAAATCTTATTTGTCACTAAAATACAAGCCATGTTTATTCTGGAGAAAAATCTTTGTCTTTCCTGAGAAAAAGGACTCTGCTGTTTAAAAATCCTGAAGTAAGTCAGGTGCCTGTGCTTCATGAATATAATCCTCGCTACAGAGGGGGCTGAGATCTGAGGATGGAGGTTCAAAGCCAACCTGGCAAGAAAAATCCATTCAGGCCTGAAATGTATGTGTGGTAGGACTCACACACAAGAAGACAAGAATCCATGAGATTCTTATCTCCAATTAGCCAACAAAATGCTGGGCTGGAGATGTGGCTCAAGTGATAGAGCACCAGCCATGAGCAAAAAAGCCAAGCAAAAGTATGAGGCCTTGAGTTCAAGCTCCAGTAGTAAAAATCTTATAATAAAAACTTCTATTGATAAAGATTTCTGCCGCTGTCTAGGTGTCAACTGTGTGCCTTTAAAAAGAAAAACATTCTATCAGGCTCAATTCCATATGTCTCTTTATCCAAAAGGACCAAATCCTGGAAAAGAAAAGACGCTGGCTGACGCTGAGTGTTTTGGGGGGAAAACTTCTGATACTAATTCAGACAGCAACAAGAATGTCTTGACCACCCACTATGTGATATGCTTTCATTATCATTTCTCAGTGACAGTACCAGGAATTTAGGCTTCTCATCCTTCTGCACATTTGATCTTTTTTTGAAGGGTGGGTATATCGGTTAGGATTCTTGATTGCAAAAACGGGGGTCAGGGGGGTGGGCAGGTGCGGAGAATCTGTGTATTTAATCTAAACGCAAAAGATGGTTTTTAAATGGAAACCCAGGCAGGCAGGCAAGCAGGCAAGCGGGCAGGCTTGGCCCATCACCTGCAGTTCAGGAGAAACAGGAGATGGGGGAGGTAATGTATACTGTATTCTACTAGAGCTGCTCATCCTCTCTCTTTAGGTTTTTGTTCTGCTCCTCAGGCCTCAAAGAAAAGTCCTGAAGTTTTATGCTGCAGTTACAGCCTGCACCAAAAAACTGACTTCATCTCAATTCTGCATTCCCTGATTCGAGCAAGAGTCAGCTGGGCTGGGAGTATGGAGCTCAGGAATTAGGCTGATGTTTCTTACTTGTTAAGTAGCAAATGCAACTGTAAGCATTATCTAAACCCACCCACGTAATCACCCTGGCCATTTCACAGAGAGAAAACCCGGGGAGGGGTTATTTCCAGCATAGCTAACAAGTGAGAACCAAAGGTTTTCATCCGGGATACCCAACTCCAAATACAGGAGCAGGGAGCTTCTCAGAGATGGATGGGGTGGGAGATTCTAGAGTGCCCAGCAGCTTATCCCATGATGTACCCTTTGCCTTGTTCTTTTCTTTGTGTTTCCCCCTCTCTTTTGTGTGGCTAAAACTATCTGAAGTATCTCCATCTATATTCCAAGCTGAGAAATTCAAGATTCACTCAGTCACATGACCCCAAATCCTCTTAGCCTCTTACATATGGTTTGGGGATATGGTCGGTGATAATGAACCCTGGAAGGCCTTCAGAAAGCTGGTATGCAGTTGCACTCATGAAGGCTGAACCCAGCTGGGTTTGGGGGCTTCTGCATTCCACATCTTAGACCCAAAGAGTCACAGATGCTCTAAAATGATTACAAAGTTCTTCTAAATCCTAATTCTGAGCAGTATGAAGCAGTAACCAAGTTTTCTGGTTTTAGATCTGTATTGAGTAAATCCACTGACACTGGTTGAACTTTCTACTTCATGCTTTATCTAAGCACTTAATTAAACATGGGATCTTTGGGTGGGCACCGGTAGCTCACGCCTGTAATTCTAGCTCCTAGGAGGCTGAGATCTAAGGATCCCAATTCAAAGCCAATCCAGGCAGGAAAGTCCATGAGACTCTTGTCTCCAGTTAAGCACCAGAAAACGGGTAGTGGCATTGTGGCGCAAAGTGGGAGAGCACTAGCTTTGAGCAGAAAAGTTCAGGGACAGCACCCAGGCCCTGAGTTCAAGCCCCCAACCAAAAACAAAGAGACAAACAAACAAACATGGGATCTTTGGACCTGAAATCCAGTTCGTAATCAACAAGTGTGAGCACAAGGTGAGGGAGAGAGAGTGATTTTATTGTCCTGCTTCCTCAGGTTGCCATAGAAGAATCAATGGACAATGCCAGGGTTGTTACGATTATGAGAGTCTCCTGCAGCCAGTAACTGCATTTTTTAAAGTGTGTTTGCAAATCCTTAGCTAAAACATGTTGTAAAACTGCTCTAATTACACCATGAACGCCTGTGGGTGTGTAATAGCCTTGCCAGGTAATGCTTTGCAGAGGGGATAACTGAAGTCCACGGGGCTGGCAGGTAACTCTTTCCAATGGGCATTTCTTGGTAGATAATGCAGGGCAGCCTCTTCCAGGGTGAAGGACTAAAATTCACATCTTTTCTTGTCTTTCTTCTTTTTTGTGTGTGCTGGCATTCCAGCTCAATCCTTGTGCTCTCGTGACGTTTTCCATCCTGGCTGGCACTCTACTTGAATCAGTCCTCTGCTTCCAGCTTTTTGCTGGTTAATTGGAACCAAGAGTCTGATTTGTCTGCTCAGGCTGGCTTTAAATGGCTACTCTCAGCTCTCAGCCTCCTGGGTAGCTAAGATTCTAGGTGTGTACCACTGGCCCTTGGCTGAAACTCACATCTTGACAGGTGAGTTCTAGCCTAGGTTTACACAAGGGGTTCATCAGACAAAAACCCTGAGGGAACACTAGGAAAACACTTTGTCTGGGCTTTGTATGTTGTATGTACTGGGATCTGGAGGATCCTAACTCCACGTGGGCCAAAGAAAGGTAGATATGACTATATGGATCAGATCAAGCCAGGCTTCATGAGAACTGGGTCAAGGAGTAGAGCAGCAGCCATGAGCAAAAAAATTGAGTGAGATCAAGCAACCTCTAGTTCAAGCCCCAATACCAGCACAAAAAAAAGAAATTCAATGTAGGTGACAAGGAAGAGCATCCAACAAGGGAAGAAGCAGTAGAGGTTCATCTAACGGGAGGGGGACCTGAAACACTCACCCATGTGTGTAGATTGTCTAGGAGCTCGGTGATTGACGTGAGGGAGTCTGAAGGCACTCATGGTGTCCCTCAGTCATGTGACAGGTCACTCCAATGTCCTTATTTAAGGCTTTTACCCTTCCCAGATGTGCTAGAGCCCTGGCCTTGGCTGTGTGATTACACAATAGGCTCTTCACACCAATGGTACCCGACTGTAGGCAGCTGCGAGCACTGTGTTGTTGGGTGAGGGACCCAGATACTTTCCATGAAGCAATGGCAGATCAAGTGCAGGGAGTCTGGGAAGTTCACCAGCCCTGACATAAGCACAAGAAGAAAAGAATGTGTGAGAAGGTGGGGTCTGGTCTGTTGGTCACATTGCAGGGCTCAGAGTCTGCCCAAGGGTTGGTTGGTTTGGTGCATGGAATTAACAAAATGGAGTGAAAGCCAAAGACACCAAAGCAAAAACATGAGAGAAAAGGGAAGTTGAGATACGAAGGAGAAGCAGGTAGCAAGAAAAAGGACCAAGATAATCTTGGTAAAGGAAGGCATAAATTTCATTCATTCATTGAGGCAAAGTATTTCTATATACTCCAGTCTGGTCTCCAATTCATAATCTTTCTGCTGTCTCTGAGTGCTGAGGTTACAAGTATGTGCTACCACACTTAGCTGAGCAGATATCTTTTGAGAACCTACTGCTGTGTGCCAGTCTGGTGGAGGGCATAGTATCAGGAAAGACAGGCAAAGTCTCACTTTCATGAAACCCACTTATTCTTAGAAGTAGACTGCCAAACCGCCACACAAGTTATAATAAGTGGAATGATGAAGGGGATGAATGAAGAGGTGAGGAAGACTGTCAAGGTTGTCAGGAATGAATAAAGAGCTTGCTTGGATTGTGTGATAGGGAAAGTTCTCTCAGAACAACAAATTGCCCTTTTCTGGAACAAGTTACATTTCTGAAGAAGAAGAAAATGCTGGGAAAGCTCAGGTGTAGGTCCTGACAATAAAAACAAACAAATAACAACTAGTAACAATTGGACATTTCAACAGCCTCCATTCTGTTAATAGGGCTAGAAAGGGAGCAGGGCAAGCATGATTACTACAAAGTTAAAAGGACCAGGCTGAACCTATTCCATAATCTTGGGGACCTTAAGAGTATGAAATCATAAAAGTCAGGATCAGTTAGTTCATATAGAGGTTCATAAGAGCTCAGCAGCCCATGAAATAAATAGATTTATGAAAGCATCAGTAAGGGATTTTACACCCACAGGTAATCG